CCAAAGGCCACGGGAAGCCAGAAAATGAGGGGCCAACGTGGGGGCCACCTACGGAAGCCTCGGAGCGGAGGCCCACGACTTTTCCTTAGGCCTACGCAAAGCCAATTACACATGTCTTTCTCTTCTGAACATCTTGCCAGGCCTTCTCTCAAGCCCATGCTAAGTCAAATACTCGTCCATTTCTCTCCTGTACATCTCGACACGTCTCTTCTCAAGCTCATGCAAAGTCAATTACTTATCCTTTTCTTGTTGGACACCTTGCCAGGCCTTTTCTCAAGCTCATGCAAAGTCAATTACTCATCCATTTCTCTTCTGGACATCTTGCCAGGCCTTTTCTCAAGCTCAAGCAAAGTCAATTACTCATCCATTTTTCTTCTGGACATCTTGTCAAGCCTTTTCTCAAGCCCATGCAAAGTCAATTACTCATTCATTTCTCTTCTGGACATCTTGCTAGGCCTTTTCTCAAGCCCATGCAAAGTCAATTACTCATCCATTGTTTTCTTCTGGACATCTTGCCAGGCCTTTTCTTAAGCCTGCGCAAAGTCAATTACTCACCCATTGTTTTCTTCTGGACATCTTGCCAGGCCTTTTCTCAAGCCCGCGCAAAGTCAACTACACAGTTTCTTGCGCTCATGGTAACCTTCTGTTTTGCACGCTTTTTCATCGGTAGATGGCACACCTTCCCCCCACTCAAAATGCGATGTCCCCATCGCACGACTAGTTCTCACTCGGAGGTACGCAGACCTTGGCCCACCAACTGAGTAGACGGATGCCGGCCCATAAGCCCCAAAAAGGAAGGGTGATCAGTCCTCCCCCTGCTGATAACTCACCTCATCCCTTACTCCAGTCCGACCTTTTGCCGCTTACGAGGCGGGCGTCATCACTCAGGTACCAACCCACATCTGGAAGGTAGGTCCAGTCCAAGCCTCCCAGGACCCCATCTTGCCGTAAGTGCCTTCTCGCGAATCGTTCCTCCCGAGCGGTGTTTTTTTGGATCCGGCCTCTTCCTTTCAAGAGAGTTGGGGCTCTCTATTAGTCTAGGAGTGCAATTACGAAGACCTCGCGCTTAGTCCCGAAACGGTTGTAATGATCCAGCAGGGCGGTGTCACTCGCCCTGTGGTGGTTGCGATTTCCACCCGGTACAACGCCCGATTCCTCCCTCTGGACAGTGCTGCTCAACTTAACGCAAGCAGTCGTGGTCCATTCCAAACGGTCGTGCCGCCCCTCTACGGCATGGCGTGTGGTTGGGGAAAAAAAAATCAGACTTAGAAAAAAGAATGGCTCTCTCACCCGTTTGGCTCCACGCCCTTGACGCTTAGGTTCTCAACATGAGGCGCAGTTTGAACTCCCCGACTAGAGCTCGTTGTCGGGGTTAGTTCCGGACGGCTACCATCAATCAAAGAGAGAGGTGCTTTGGTCCTTCAACCCTTATTTTCCCTTATGAGGAATAGGTCGCGCTCAGACTTTTCCCTTAACAGGTAGAGGTCTTGGGGTCGCGATGCAGGCATTGCTATCCCCTTTATGTTGAGACCTGAGACTAGACGAAAAGGGAAAGCTCAATCTCTTGCTATTTCCATGGTCGGCCCGACGACCTTACATCAAGTTGCCTAGGGTCCCCTGACTATGCAATGCAATATTCAATACTCAAACACTCAATCCCATGCTATCTCCAAAGCTGATTCTCATGGCTGGTCTGATAGCCTCTCATCAACAAGGCCACCCACATGGTCGGTCTGGTGGTCATTCTTTCAGTAGTCATTTCTCAAGACTGACCTTCCGCCCATTCAATCCTCAACTCTCTCATTCCTCAACACCCAATCTCAGTGAGCATCCCAACGGTCCCTGCCCTTCTTGGCTTTAAGGCTCGGCCTTCTTTATCCTGCCCTTCTCATTCACATCTTTCTTCCGCTCCCTTGGCAATTTCAACGGCCGACCCACCGGCTTTTTCCATCTCTTTCCTCCATCCCATTGGCTATTTCAATGGCCGACCCACCGACCTTTTCCATCTCTTTCATCCTTTCTATCGACTATTTCAATGACCGACCCACCGACCTTTTCCATCCCTTTCATCCATTCCATTGGCTATTTCAATGACCAACCCACCGGCCTTTTCCATCTCTTCCATTCATCCCATTGACTATTTCAATGACCGACCCACCGACCTTTTCCATCTCTTATTTCTCATTCCAGCTCATCCTCAATCATCCTTTCTCAATCAACTTTTCTCAATCAATTATGCAGGGGACCCCAGTGCCTATTTCAAAAGGAATGACCCTTGTCAGGGGCCATTCCTGAACAACCTGGTTAGGGTCGTTCTTTTCCATTCTCAAGTCGAACAGCCTGGTTAGGGCCATTCCTTTCCATTCTCAAGTCGAACAGCCTGGTTAGGGCCATTCCTTTCCATTCTCAAGTCGAACAGCCTGGTTAGGGCCGCTCCTTTCCATTCTCAAGTCGAACAACCTGGTTAGGGTCATTCCTTTCCATTCTCAATTCGAACAGCTTGGTTAGGGCCATTCCTTTCCATTCTCAATGTTAGTGCCCGAGGGGGTGGGCCTCGAGGTTACGGATCCCATTTCTATCTTGGAGGTTAGAAGGTGGCCATCTCATCTCAGTTTTAGCGTGCTGTTCCCTTTCTTCCATTTCTCACAGTAATGTACCATCCATGCATACATCCGACTTAGCGTCTAGTACTTGATTTGGAGCTCGCGACCCCAAGCAGCACTAGCCCACCCGGCCGTTCAGCCATAGCAAAAGACACGGGCGTCCCTTCCATTTTCACAGTTTCTACTCACTCAGATTTTGGCTACTCTCAGACTCATTCATGACTCAGTTGGATTAGGCTCCCTTCCCAACTGTTCTCATCCCATGCCCCATGTCCTTGTCTTGTGTACCCACTTTCGAAGGTAGCTCATCAAAAAGTAGCCTCAATACGCTATCTTATAACTTATCATGGCACAGTCTTAGCTGGCCCTTTCATCACTCATCCTTTGCAAGCTTACTCATGCTATACACATTCTGCTCCAATGTTCTTGTAAAAGAAAGACAGGATGCTTGCCCAACACTCAATCAACAACTAATGCCTATTGTTGTCCTCTGTCTCACCGCACTCGGCCCCCTGTCCACCCTGTTTCTCAGCCGGCTTTCTAAACCCCAGGCCGAAGGTCTCGATTTCTCTCCTTATCCTTGCAATTTTCCGTAGTTCTGCCTTGTTGAAAAATTCCAGCGGCGTGGCTTCCACCCCTGCCCTTGCTAGTTCCCGGGTTTTGATAATCCACTCATGCTTGGCTACGCCGAGCCACTGGCTGGGCGTCGGCCCAAACTCATCCTCCCATCTGAAGACTTCTTCGCGCGGCCGGTGCATTGGAGGCCGCCCCTCTTCCCTAGGTCGCGAGATCTCATCCCTTTCATCCCCGCTACTTATACGTCCTCCTCCTCGTCTTCCTCGACTTCTGTCTGTATGGGGCTATATCCTCCCGTTAGGTTCTTTGGATCGTAGGTATAAGGAATCTCTGTCCTTGTCCCATACCCCTCACAATTGTTGTGGCCGCTTCGTCCTTCAAGCGGGCTTTCTCTTCTCTCCTCCCCATCCTCACGCTCGTCGTGCATGTCCTGTCCCCCCTCACTTTCCTCATGCCAGATCTCACGTCGTTCGCCCATGTTGGCTCCTTCCTCGTTAGAGGCTTGGGCCTTACCTCCCATATCTGCATTGCCCTCTTCTTTCACATTTGCCTTTTCCTTCCCGCCCTCACTATCAGATGAGATTTCTATACCTTCTCCCTTCCGGAGGGGTGAGGGTTTCCTACACAAGCATTTCCTTCCCGCCCCTGCCTACCACTGACCCGCCCATGAGCCCTATGTACAACTTTCTCTTCGCTGTCCTCCTCCCTTGGCTTGGTCCTGCTTCTTCCCCTCCGATAGGCCTGTTGATTGCCCCGTTGTCGTTCTCGTTGCCGAATTCCATTTTTTGCCTTTTTTCATTTTTCTCCTAAGTCCTGTATAACAAAACAACACCCGCAATGCCCCTCATACACACGTTCCCCCCAGTCCGGTAGACAGTTCCCCTTTCCCAAAATGCTCCCAGTATTCCTCGCATCATGCCCCTTTTATACATTTCCCTCCCTTATGCAAATGCGTCGTTTGTGAAGATCACATTATTTCCCCGTCAAAAACTATGGTACAATGCCCCAACAACCCTTCCCGTTGTCGCACAAGCCAGTTATCGCAAAATCCCAAGTCATGTTGCCTTTCAACCTCAGTCATTCAAAGCCATTGCCCCAGTCCCCCAAAAATGACAGTCCCACGGCCGTGGTCAAAGACAAACCATAGTGAGGGCAAGGTTGTGGTCAGTCCTTAGCTTGTGGCCCCTCAGTTTCCTTATCTTCGGCCTCCTGAAGCCATTGTTCCACTGGGTCCCGACTTAGAAACCTGACCAATCGTTGCCCCGGGAAGGGCCCTTTCAATCCAGTTCTATCCAAATCTTCCAGTTCGAATGTGTTCAGTCCCACCCGCTTGGCGACCCGGTAGGGCCCTTTGAACTTCCTTCCCAGTTGTCCCGACCAAGTACTTTCTAATGTCGAGTTCCTTAGCAATATCATCTCTCCCACTTGAAGACGCTCCTTTATGACATTCTTAACCTGGTCCCACCTTGCTTTGTCCCTCATTCTGCTGTCTAGTACCCGGTTAGCGATGTCTTCCATGACTTCCTCGTTCTTAAGGATTTGTTGACATCTTGCCTCGATTAACTCTTCCGTTGTCATTTGCGGATCATCATCTAACCTATTCCAGGTAGGTACCAAGGCTTCCACGGGAAAATCGATTTCTCTTCCGTACCAAAGCTCTGCCGGGATACATCCTGTTGTCCTTTTAAGGGTCATATTCTCTGCAAAGACAACCTACTTAAGATACCTAGGCCAGTTCCCCTGACGAATAGGCTCAACAATCTTGGTAAAATTCTTAATGAAGATCCTCCAAAAGCCAACCACGCCTAGGAATGCCCTTACCTCCGTTGTCGTGCGCAGTGGCGTTGGCCACTGTGAGATCTTGTCGGTCTTTGCCGGATCGGGCTTCCTGCCGTAAGCACCGCAGCGAAATCCTAGTATAGTTACCTCCGGTACTGCTAGGATACTCTTTGGTCCACTAGCCGCAATGTTGTATACTAGGAACCGGCGGAGTAAGTCCTTGACGTCCTGCAGGTCGTCCCACACAAAACTTCGGATTCCTGGCTGGACTTCCGTCTCCTCCTTCTCCTGCGCGCCTTTGATCGGATTGTCATCGGTGTAAGGCTCACATTTTTCTGGGAACATGTCCCCGGCCACGGCGAGCATTCTACGTTGCGCTTCGGCCCCCGCGTTTGTGAATCCCATAGGGGTCACTTGCATCTGTAACTGGCCTACGGGGGTGTGCATAGCGGTGTACGACCTGTCCCGAACATCCAATGGCAGCTGGTCGTACCCTGAGTACAGATCTATCAGGGAGTAAATGCTCCGACCGGCGTGCGATTCTGCTAATAAGTCGGCTTGAGGTAGCGACCCAGCATCCCAGATGGTTACCGCATTCAACTTCTGCAGGTCCTGAATCCACCTTAGTGTCTTGTTAGGCTTCCGGAAGACGAACCACCGGTTTGCGTATGGCGACACCGTAGGCTATCCTCGGAGGAGGTCTGTCACTTCCCCTGCTATCCCAAATTTGTAGGACGGACCCTTGTCATTCCAGCACTCATGTTCTGCCGTGTGGATTCTGACCGGAGGGATCAGCTTCGCATCCAGTCGTCCCTTTTGATGATCACTAAAGGCAAATGCAAGGTGAAACTCCTGGCAGGTCCTTTTGATCAAGCGGGTTTCTTCTTCCGTGAAGAATCCGTCTATCCCTATCTTCATTGTGTCAGCTACCTTATCTGGTATCCGATGTCCTTCCGTCGCCCTCCTCTCTCGGATCACTCGAAGGACTTCCTTTTTTTTCTCCATAGCCTCTTCCTTCGATATCTCTAGCAGGATCGAGACCGACTTTGCTTTCTTCCCTACCGGCTTGTACTTTCGAACACTTCCTTCCGGGATCTTTCTCCTAAAAAATGAACGGTCGGAATTGCCCTCGTCGCCTCTACGACTCGTGGTAGGATACTAACTAGTTTCCCATTCAGGCAATATCCCTTTCGCACTTCTCCTTCGAACTTGGCCAAGGCCGCTGAGTCCACTCCTACCTTGTGGTATCTGAGGGCCTTGACGAGTTGTAACAGATCGGGGATCTCGAGTGCGACTTCTCGCTCGTCTACGCGTACTTCTTTCTGCTTGGGCAGGCTAGCACCAAGTTCGACTTCTGACTCCTTTTCCGCTACCATAACACCTAGGACTTCGTCCTTCTGCCTCCTCTTCTTCTGGGGCAGGCCCATCTTGATCCACTCCTTGTTGAATGCTTCCTCAATCATGATTTCTACCCTTTCTCCCATACCTTCCATCCGACCGAAAGCCCTTTTTCGCGTGCTATCCTCAAACGACGGCGACCATGTTGCCAATTTCCCCTTCGGGGGGTCTCCTCCCATTCCAAGGAGTCGGAGGAGCTCTCCCCGGCCGGTCACTGGGTCCTCTATGTCTACCATGTATGAGCCGTCGTGCAAGTGCATGCCTATCATTTCTACGTTTGCGCACCACAGTCTCTCGAGGATTATGTCGTGGTCCATTTCCTCCATTACGATCATCCACTGAAACGACCAGATCGACTCCTTGACTCTTGCCTTTACAGCACTTCGTGACGTACCCAGCGAGCTGGATTTCCCCGCCAGCTCCCCGGATGCTCCCTGTTACTTCCTTGTTTACCGTACATCCCGTGATCGTTGCGAAATCTCTTCTTATGAGAGTGATTTCTGCTCCCTCGTCTACCAATGCGTCGGTATGATGAGTCCCGATCTGGATTTTCAGCTTCCCTACGGGCAGTGCATGAAAGCTAAGCTTTGTCCCGGGTGGTGCCCTCATGACCTCGCCGCCCTCTTGGTCGGGCAAGCTCAAACGGATGTCTGCAAAGGCTTTCTCGAGGTCCTCCACGTCCCCGCGACTCCTTTGAAGGTTAGCCACTTCTTGCGGAGCTTCCTCCTCCCTTTCCTCTTCTGGTAATTCGGGGTTGTCGTCTATTTCTACTCATCGCCGAGTCAACAGTTGTCTAAGCCCTTTGAGCAACCTAGGGCTAGCCTCCAGCATGGTCTGAAACGACACCGATACCATGGTTCCTAGTAACTTGCTAAGGGTGTCGTCGATATCAGGCAAGGTTAAGATCGGGATTTGATACCCAAACTTCTTCTTAGCGGCGGTAACCTTGCCCGCAGGCTCCTCTTCCCTAGGCTTCCCATAGACTTTCTCTGGTTCCTCGGCCTCAGGCTCTGCCTGGGGTTCGGAGCTTCCAGCAACCTCCTCCATAACGGTGTCACGGATAATCCTTCTCCCAGCCGTCCCTAGCCGAGTGGTTGCGTTCACCCTATCACGTCCGTCGTTTTCCAAAATAAAGTTGACTTGCGACCCGTGGCCCCGCAGTTGATCCCAAATGATATCGGCCACCGGCTTAGCTTCTATGGCCGCTATCTCTAACCCATTGAGCATGATAACGGCTCGTCGCATTCCCCCTGGCGAGTTCTAATTCACCCGCTCTCCCTGTGGTCCGAATATCTCTCCCTTTAATGACCTGGTGCATCTCCTTTTTAAGATATCATGGTTGAGCTTTGGACACGCGCGCACATAATGTCCCATCGCGGTGCAGTACTTGCATTGCTCATTAGCAGCATCTCTCCGTCTGAATCCCCGGTTGGCTATAGGCTGAACCACAGCTTACTGGGGAGGGAGGGCGGGTCGGGATACTTGCGCCTGCATAACCAATAGCGCGCCCTCCATCCTTTCAATTTTATTCTCGACTCCGTGCACCCTCCCATGTAGACTTTCAATCCCCTTCTTTACCTTATCGCCTGTTCTTCCGGTCAAATCTGTGACCTCCCCTTCCTTAAGCAAGGCCAATGTCTCAGTCACTACCGTCTTTTCAACCAGATCCGTTACCGTACTTAAATCAACGTCCCTAGTGTTTACAAATTTGCTCGTCTGTTGGTAAGCCGACAGGATCTTGACTTTGTCGAACTCGGAGAACTGCCTGAGGAAATACTTACTCATTATTCGGTCCATAACCCCGGGGATTCTTAGTGCTACCAAAGTAAACTCCCGTAGGAAGTCATTGTACGTTGCGAAGTTCTTCCTCTGGACTACAGCTAAATCGGCCTCCGTCGCCATCTTCTCTGCTGCCAGATATTTTCTCATCATCACATCCTGGGTTTCTTTCCAGGACCGGCTCGTGGCCACAATGGCCATTATGTCCCGCCCTAGGCTCAAAGACACATGCTGCCCGAGGTGGTCCATCTTTTCTCCTTCGGTCCATTTCAAAAGCGCGGCCAGATTCTCGTAATCTATCAGGAATTATGTGATGTTCGCCCCATCAAACGTCAACTTTTTCTTAGCGTCCGCTTGGTAGCCTTGATTTTTGTTTAGTGCTCGCGCGAGGGACGACACTATCTTCCTAAGGCCGCCCTGAGAGCTGCTGGCCTCGCCTGCCATATTGTTATCCGGACCTTCCTTGCCGGCCTTCGGTACCCCCCTGGTCTTCGTAGTTCCTTCTGGGTCAAACCATCCCAACACTCCTTCCCTGAGGCTCCAGAGTCCTTCGCACCCTCGTGTTACTGCTGGCGTGGTTGGCAGGCGGCTAGCTCTACTATCTATGGCTGGCGGGGTCGTAGCCTTTTCCGCTTCCATCCCCGGAGAGTTCTCTCTCTTTTTCCTTCTTTTGCTCGGCGTTCCCCCACGGTCACTACCTTTATCCCCTTGTCCAGTCCCACCTCGGCTGGTTTTCCGTTCGTCCCGGGGTTCCTCCAGCAGAGGGCCTTCTTCGTTCCCAGTCATCATTTCCTCAATCAATCTTGCCTTGTACTCCGCGGTCCTTTTTTCTGTCTCGGCTTAGTTTGCGCCTCGCATCAGTGACCCTTACTTTCTAAGACATGGTTCCCTTTCCGACCTTCAGGGTCACGACAACCATTGGGAATCTACCCCCTTCTTTGTTTTTCAGCGGTTTTTAATCATCCGGGTCCGAGGCCCCTTTCTTATTTCCATCGGCGAACTTTTGTACGTAGCGGACTATACTCGATCTGCCCTATTGGCCCGCCTGCGGGTGCTAGTCCCGTTCTCGCCCTCGCGGCCCTTCCGGTTCGGTAGGCTCCTCCAATAGTTCAGCCACCCCTGCTAAATAACTCTCTCCTATCTCGATTTCCCTTTCGATTATGTGTTCGCATCCCGCCCAGTCTAGCTGTGGCACCCTAAACATCAGGATGTGGATGACTTCCAGTAACTCGTGGGCCCTGTTTCCCCAAGACGGCCCATGCTCCACAGCGACATCGTAGAACATCCCAATGGTAATGGTGGGGAAGTGGTCTACCCAGACTATCGCCGAGTCTGCCAGCTCCCGCGCCCTCGCGAGGCTCCCGAAGACGAGGTCTATCATAAAACGGGGAACTCGGCACCTCAGCGGTGTGGTTGGTGCCCTGAATTCCCTCCATCCTCCCATTTCCACCCGGGTAAGTAAGTCCACGTTTCTTCTTCCCCTGACTGATTGTCCTACCCGTGTCAACGCCCGGGCTGCCCTCCGAAAGATGGGAGCCAGCTCGTGGCCTTGCGCTATTCCCACCCCTAACGAGTGCCAGCCAATCTCGCGCAAATGCATGGTCCCGGTAACGTCCAAACTGGAAAATAAGTCATCCCAAGGTCCCCGGTTGATTCTCATCCCCGTCCACCGACATTCTACCAACATGAAGGCGGTGTCTCTGCCCAAAGTTACGGCCCGCCATTCTACGTCGAATCCCCGATAGTTGGAACTCGATGGGAGGGATACTTCCCATCGTTCGCCGTTGTTCCAGGGCGGTCCGGGGTCCCGGGGCTGGCGTTCCATCCGCACACGGAGCAGGCGTTCCATTCGCACACGTCTTGCTGCCATTGTTGCCTTGGTGAATCCCTGCATAGTTCACATAGAAAGCGTAACAGCCAACCCTCAGTAAATGTCCACCTACTGCCCCCTTACCTTTTATATCCTCATTCTCCCTTTCTAGTCCAACTATCCTTCCATATCCCTAGGAGCCGCAACCTCCTTTGGCTGCTCGTACAGCCGGTAAAGGTCGTATATGTAGGTCAATCCCCGGCCTACTTCCCGCCTGATGGCTCTCCACATGGCCTCATCACTTACTTGCGGAACTCCTGGAAGGGTATTTACTGCAGCTTGTAGTATACAAAAGTACTTCATGCCTCTGTTCGTCTTCAAAAAGCCCCATCTCCAGGAAGGCCCGATAGTATTCCCGATACATTAATGTTCCGTCGAAATTAAGCCTAGTTATGGCAGCTACCGCCTACTCCACTCGCTCTACGCCTCCCATTTGTCTTAGCAGAAAGGGCGGTAGACTCATCCGTACGACCTTATTGGGCAGCTCAAAGATTCCTGCCGCGGCAACTCTTACTTCGGCTGTCACGTCGTCTCGTTCTGGGACTGCGAACTCAAACCCCTCCCGCCAAGTTATTTGCCATGCTCCTTCGAACATTCGTACGGAGTCATCCCCGGAAGCCAAGGCAATCCCAAAGGTCCGCCATCCCTCTTCCGACAGGTGTAAGGATCCTGTCGCATGTACACGCCCCGGGAGATCCAAATCTATGCCCCCGAATTCTCCTCTCGCACGCCATTCCAGCTCCACTACTAGGCATACCGTGTCCTCCACCAACTCTACCCCCACCCAGTCCATTTCCGGGTTGCTTACCGCATTTCTTGCCGGCAGGCTTATTTCGACCCTGCCTTCCGATACTCTTGGTGGCAGGATCCCGGGAGGTCTATCCCCCCAGAATGTCATTCGCTGGGCCATCTCGAAATGTCTCCTTTCCTGCTTCCTTAGTCTGATTGCTGCACCCACCGAGATTCCATGCCTTTCGTGTTTTAGTCTTTCAGCGCTCCCTACTTATCGTACACTGGTTCTTGCCGCTATCCCCGCCCCATACACGTACAATTCCACCCCCCTTTTCCGGTTGTTGCTATTTCCCCCTTGTTTCGACCCTCACGCACCTCCTGTGGCCTAATGTACACGCCCCTCTCTTATGTTACACCTTAATTCACAAGCACCTTCCATACTCCGGCCTCCCCGTGGTGTTCGATCCCTCGGCCCCATTTAGTCAAACCACTGTACCTCAAACAGTAAGACATCGTCTACGTAGGAGGGCGAGGCCGCCGCCTCCCGGCTAACTATGGCGTCCCAAGACTCCGCCTCTACCTCTAGACGGTCATACTTGCCTATCCTTGGGACGATGATGACTTCCTCGGCTTTATCTCCGTAGAACGGCCCATATTTCAATGAGATCCTATAGAACTCCTCAGCCAGGCACACTCTATATACACCTTTCTCATGGAGTCACCTACTTCTAAAATGTGCTCAAACCCCCCAAACCACTCGGCTATGAATTCTGGCACCCAAGCCGTTGTCCGTAGGCTAGGAGGCTTAAGTTCCTTCCATCCTCCCATCACAACTCTGCTACTAACTTCGTCCCATCCCTCGTTGGCGAACCGCTCGCCTTCTTTTCGGGTTCGGGCCTCTGCATCCCCTAGAAGCCACATCGGATCATGTCCCATCGCTAACATAGTGCAGCCACCCGTCTTCGAAAAGGACAATCGTTCCGACTGACTCTACCTTGCCTTCTGCTATATCATCCCAACCTTCCTCTTCCCTTATCGGGTTCCAAATCCGTTCTACCCATACATATAACAAGTCCCGGACAACCTCAAACCCAATCCAGTCGCACGTGGTCCCCCTCCACTCGTTTTCTGTCGGTATAGGCATTTCTATCCCTCCTCTGAGTCGCCGTGGTTCCCAACCTTTGAAGGTGTATTCCATCATCCTTTCTTCCCTAGTCATTTTCCCCCTTCCTGCACAATGTCAGGCCACCCGTCCTTCCTAAGTTAAGTTACCCCACCCCTCTTAGAAGTCACAGTCCTCCATCTCATCACCTTTGTCTTCATCACTGAAGTCGTCCTCCTCGTTGTATAACTCCCTTACCCCATCCAGAAACGTTTCCCCTATTGCCACATTCCTGTAGACTATCCCCCAATGCACAAAGCTAGGGACAAAGATATTGTCTATGCTAAGGCAGCTAGTATCTCGGCCAGCTCGTCCGACCAGTTCCCCTCGAACGGCCCCATCTCTACCGACAACCGAAAAAAATCTTGCCTAGCGCATTGGTGTAGCCCGAGGTTTGTCATGGACTGGCATATCCGTACCAGCCTGCTCTGAGTTCCGAAAACTGCATCCACTAGGAAGGGAGGCAGCACATATCGCATGGTTCTGACGGGTCGCCTCATGCTTCCTCTGTCCCCAAGTTCCACCGCCTCATGCTTCCTCTGTCCCCAAGTTCCACCCGTACGTCTACCTTTTCCATTTCCATTTCCCTCCGCTGACATGCAGCCCACACAACCTCCGCTTCTGCCTTCCTAAACAATTCGTCCAGCGTATTTCCGAGTGCCAACTCTATGACCATAGCATTTTCCCCACCTTGTGACAAGTAGACTCACCCCCGGGCTTCCACTGTCCCTCGGAATTCCAAATCCATTAAACTTGGCGACAACCTCGTCAAGATGACATTAGTCCATACTGTTTCTATCCAAAGAAACGTGTCCTCCCCTTCCAGCATTGTCGTTTGATACGCTGGTTCAAGGTCCATTCACGTCCCATCTTCCGGGAGGACGACCGATACCCCATCCTTTACATCTACTGGCATTTTCGGGCTGCTGGTATAGATCGGGGAAGGCAACCATCGAGCCATCTCGTTTTCAGCACCCGACCCCTGTTTTCATAAAAAGAGCACCAACCGGTCCTTTTGGTCAGGTCAATCCTCGCCCTAGATGAAAATTTTTTTAGACCCCTCATCAAGGTCTCCCTAATTTACCTCCCCATTCCTAAGTATCTTCTTCCCACAATATCCTTGGTGGGCCATCCATTTCCCCACATTTTCTCTTGGTTCCATTTCAACTGACCTCTATCCTCCTTCCTTCCGATCATCTCTCACTCGTGTGGACTTAGATGGGGGAAGGATAGACTTAGAAATATGTCTCGTCCAACGGTCCCAGCTCAATCAATTTTTACAGAGGGGGAACACATAAAAAAAAATCAGGCAACCTCACATATGGGTCGGTCATCTCCTCATCGGCCATCCCAATATGGTCTCTCCGTTGGTACTATCGGTAGAGTTTTATCCTATACCTTAAGCACAACTCAACCATCGCGAGCGCAGTACCTAGGCTCCGACAAGACGTTAGCCCTTTCCTTACCCAGAATACCCCATCCCGTCTTGTCGC